ACACCCTCCCCAGGCCGACTGAGCTTGGGGAACACCATGTGGGTGAACGTCATTGCACAGCCTCACTCAGGACATACCGTGAACAGAGGGACCCTAGGTCAGCCTCAAATAAAGCCCCAAAACAAATCCAAGCCTTGGCCAAACGGTTATAATTTCCTGCAGGAGCTGGGCCGGAAAACCATTATTGCTGGTACATGGGCTCGAGACAGCAAGAGAGTCCCACTAGGCCTGAATTGAGTAAGAAATCTCTCAGGCCGGTATCCAGGAGAGTGCACTCCCTGGAAAATCCACCTCCAGCTGGTTAGGAGCAGTTAAATTGCTTAGCAACGTCCAAATCAGCACCACTCAAAATAAACATCTGGTTAAATGGGTCACCCAGTGCTAATGGAGGTCGATACTGGCTGTAACAGGGATCACAAAACCAGTCTTCAACAAAATCCGCTCTGGACTCCAACCCTTAAGTTTGTGTAAGACCTTGTCCAGGCTGGGAACCGATACCAGGGGGAACTTATACACATTAAGGCCACAACTTCGGTTCTGGTCTCTTATGAGAAGCAGCTGGTTCAGTTCCTACAGATTGTAGTAAAAGCCTCGGGCCTAAGCCTGAGGAGGGGCGTGGGGGATGGAATTGGTTGAGGAAGATTCAACTTGATTGGCTCAACATCTTTCGAAGAGAAAATGGTTGCCTGAGTGAAGTCCTAATTAAATACACGGACGGTTTGCATAAAGATGACCGAAGGGCACCTTGCACATTGACCAGGAAGCGATCCCGTGATTGTGTAAGGCCCACCCAGTGATGTTTGCCTTCCGGGTAAAAGTAGAGGCGGAAAATCGGGAGGTTGGGGGAACGAAGGGATCTTCGAACCAGTTCAGTTTGTGTGGAATGGGCAGCAGTGATTGTGAACACTGATGGGTCTGTTCGCCTTTGTGTGTGTGCGGGGGATTTTAAACAAACGGTCAACCACGTTTTGCAGCTGGATAAACACCTAATCCCTGCTGGAGAGAATTTGTACCAAACACTGGTGCAAGGGCTGTCTTTCACAAAGCTGGACATTCCCAGAAATATGCTACAATGAATACCCATAAAGGATTTGCACCAATACACAAGGCTGCCCTTTGAGATATCATTAGCCTATGCAGGTATTTCGTTCGACGATGGAGAATATTTGAGAAGGTCTACTCCAAGTTGCCATTTATCGGGATGATATTGTAATAACAGGGAAGACCACTTAGAGAACTTGGACACAGTCCTGAGACGTTTCTCCCTTCGAAGGGAGGAATGTGTTCCGGACCCCTCAAGTGACCCAGAGATAGCAAGAACTGCAGATGCTGGGGTTAGAGATAACACAGCGTGGAGCTCGGAGGAACACAGGAGGCCCAGGCAGCGTCAGCGTTGACATTTCGGGTCGGGACCCTTCTTCAGATTTCTTCTTCAGTCCTGAAACGTCAACTTTCCTTGCTCCTCTGTCGCTGCCTGGCCCTGCTGCGTTCCTCCAGCTTCCTGTTGTGTTTTCCCAAATTGGCCTTGGCCGCCTGAAGAAGAGAATGAATTACTTCCAAGATCCTCCGAGCGCAGGAGAGGGTTTGCTGTGTGTTACGTGTTGTCTGTAGCAGGGGAAGGGTTGGAGGAAGTTGAACCCAGTGCTAAAAGGCTCTAGGAGGAGCTACAAAACTATAAAGAATGGGCCTATGTCTTCGGCCTCAGAGGGAGAGGGATGTAGTGAGTGTAACAAGGTCAACCAGATGGACCTCAGAATATGAGTTCCCCGATTGGGGCTGTTAGCCTGGTCCAATCAGGGAACCTTGGCTGACAGATATAAACAGGAGTGTCAGAGGTTCTGTTCACTCTGAGGGAGCAGGGAGAAGAACTTTCATACGATTAAATAAAGAGTGACTTGGTGACAGGATATTAGCCTCTGCGGAGTTTATCTCAGTGACTAACTCTCCTTGAGTTAGCTGGGTAAGGGAGGGGATTTGGGAGAGGCTGCGTTTCGGGACTTTCTGATTTAGCGAATGATGCTATGTGATGGCGAGCAAGTGGGAAACAGAAGGCGGTAAGTATGGGATCCTTGGGGTATAATCAGGCAGCGAATATATGCATGAAAATGGAACAGGGTGGAGCTGAATCAGAGAGGCAGAGAGCAACCAAATGTCAGGCTCCCTAATTGCCCAGGACATGAATTCCATCCAAACTATTTAATCACAGAGATGGAGCAAACACTTAGCTTCACTGGCTCAAACACAACGGCCCATGAGGAACAATCACAAAATTGGACAAAGACCATAAGATGCAGGAGCAGAATTAGGCCATTCGGCCTGCTCTGCCATTCCCATTATTCATTCACGGGATGAGGGCATTGCTGGCTAGGCCCAGCATTTTTTGCCCGTCCCTAATTGCCCAGCTAAGAGTCAACCACATCGCTGTGGGTCTGGAGTCACACATAGGCCCAGACCAGCTAAGGATGGCAGTTTCCTTCCCTGTAGTGAACCAGCTGGGTCTTTCCAACAATAGATTTATGGTCATCATTAGACTCTTAATTCCAGATATTTTTTATTGGATTCAAATTTCACCATCTGATTTGAACCCGGGTCCCCAGAATATTATCTGGGTCTCTAGATAAACAGTCCAGCGATAATACCACTAGGCCATCGTCTGCCCAATTAATCAATTGTGGCTGATATGTTTCTAAACCCCATTCTCCTGCCTTCTCCCCATAACCCATGATCCCCTGACTATCCAAGAACCTATCTATCTCTGTCTTAGATGCACTCAGTGATGTAGTCTCAACAGCCATCAGATTCACCACCCTCTGGATGAAGAAATTCCTCCTCATCTCCGTTCTAAAGGGTCATCCCTTCACCCTGAGGCTGTGCCCTTGGGTCCTAGTCTCTCCTACTCATGGAAACACCTTCTCCATGTCCACTCTATCCAGGCCTCTCAGTATTTTGTGAATTTCAATCAGATCCCCCCTCCCCTCTAAACTCCATCGAGTACAGAACCAGAGTCCTCAACCACTCCTCATATCCCTTCATCCCCGGGATAATTCTTGTAAACCTCCTCCAAGTCCAGCACCTCCTTCCTTAGGTACGGGCCCCAAAACTGCTCACAATATTCCAAATGTGGTCTGACCAGAGCCTTATACAGCCTCAGCACTATGTCCCTGCTCTTGTATTCTAACGCTCCAGAAATGAATGCTAACGTTGCATTTGCTTTCCTAACTGCCAACTGAACCTGCGCATTACGAGAATCCTGAACTAGGGATCTTGAGTCCATTTGTGCTTCCAAAGTCTTAGAAAATAGTCTATTCTTCCTGCCAATCTCACACTTTCACGCATTGTATTCTATCTGTCAATTCTTCGGCCAGACTCCTGACCTGTCCTAGTCCATCTGCATCCTCCCTGTTTCCTCAACACTACCCACCCCTCCACCCATCTTTGTGCCATCTGCAGAGTGCCCATCGATGTCCAATTCGTTAATGTGTAACCTGACTAGTTGTGTTCTCAACACTGACCCCTGCAGATCTCTGCTAGTCACTGGCTGCCATCCTAAATAAAAAAAACCCTTTTCTCCCCACTTGCTGCTATCTCCCAGCAGGTTCCAGAGTGGGGTGCGGTAGGAGGAGGGAGGTGTGAGGTGGGGGAGGAGTTTGCAAGGGCATGGAGACCTGGGGGAGGGGAAAGACGTCATCGATTAACACAGAACAGCACAGGTCCTGAGGAGAAAGCACCCTTAACATTAGCCAGACTCGACCCTACCCCATCTTCGGATCTTAGCTGATAAATCCACAGGAATTCTTCAAGGATGTAACAAGTAGAGTTGATGAGGGGTATGCAGTGGATGTGATATATTTAGACTTTCAGAAGGCTTTCAAACAAAGTCCCACATAACAGTGTAAAATTCAAGATCATGGGATTGGGGCTCATGTTCTGACGTGGATAGAGAATTGATTGGCAGACAGGAAACAGGAGTTATTGGATCTTTTAGAGACAGTAGGAACTACAGATGCTGGAGAATCTGAGATAACAAGGTGTAGAGCTGGATGAACACAGCAGGCCAAGCAGCATCAGAGGAGCAGGAAGGCTGACGTTTCGGGTCTAGACCCTTCTTCAGAAATGAAGCTTTTACCAAGTGGCAGACAATGAATATTAAGGTACTTCAGCGATCAGTGCTAGGATCCCAGCTCTTCGCAATATGTATGATTTGATTTCGAGGAGTATCTCCCAAATTTGCAGACGAGACAAAGCTAGTGAGTTGAGGAGGTTGCAGAGATGCTTCAGTGTGATTTGGACAAGTTGAGTGAGTGGCAGATGACATAATGTGGATAAATGTGAAGTTATCCACTTTGGTAACCAGACCAGAAAGGCAGATTATTACCTGAACAGTGATAGATTGAGAAAGGCGGGGTGCAGTGAGGTGACCTGAGAGTTAGCATGCAGATGCAGCAGGCAGTGAAGAATACAAATGTTACGTTGCCCTTCATAGCGAGAGGATTGAAGTAC